CGTTCATCCAGGGAACACCAAGATATATCAGGATGTGAAGCAGACATTTTGGTGGCCGAATATGAAAGGAGAAATAGCCGAGTTCGTGTCCCAATGTTTGCATTGTCAACAAGTGAAAGCAGAACATCAAAGGCTAGCAGGGCTTCTTCAACCTTTGTCGATTCCTGAGTGGAAATGGGAACACATCTCCATGGACTTTGTGGTTGGTTTGCCGAAGACGCAAAAGGGTATGGATTCGATTTGGGTTATCGTGGATAGACTAACTAAGTCAGCACACTTCTTGCCTGTTAAGGCCACCTTTAACACTGATAAACTTGCTTTGTTGTACATGAATGAGATTGTTAGACTTCATGGAGTGCCGATGTCAATTGTGTCAGACCAAGATTTGAAGTTTGTTTCTAGATTTTGGCAGAGTCTACAAAGAGCTTTCGGAACCGAGTTGAGGTTTAGCACATCTTTTCATCCCCAAACTGATGGGCAAACAGAGAGAACGATTCAGACACTTGAAGATATGCTTAGACTATGTGTATTGGACCTCCAAGGAAGTTGGGGAGTACATTTACCATTGGTGGAATTTACCTACAACAATAGTTATCAAGCTAGCATTGGCATGGCGTTATATGAAGCATTGTATGGAAGAAAGTGCAGGTCGCCGATATGCTGGACCGAGGTAGGAGACAAAGCTCTGCTTGGTCCCGAGTTAATTCAAGTGACAACCGAGAAGATCAAGCTCATTCAGCAAAGCATCAAAACCGCTCAGAGTCGACAGAAGAGTTTTGCCGACCAGAGAAGAAGAGAGTTAGAATTTGAAGTCGGGGATCATGTATTCCTAAAGATTTCGCCGATGAAAGGAGTTACAAGATTTGGGAAGAAGGGTAAGTTAGCACCCCGTTACATCAGGCCTTTTGAAGTCCTTGAGAAGGTTAACCTCGCTGCCTATAGACTTGCTTTGCCGCCAGAAATGAACCAAGTCCACGACGTGTTTCATATTTCGATGTTGAGGAAGTATATTCGAGATCCACTGCATGTGATCGACTATTTCAGAATTGTAGTTAATGAGGATTTAGGCTACGAAGAGAAGCCGATACGGATTATTGATAGGCAGGTGAAATAGTTGAGAAGTAAGTCGATACCAATGGTGAAAGTTGAATGGAAGGAGCAACTTCAATTTTTATTCAATTTCCTTTTCTTTTCAACTTCATTTTTTATTTAATTTCCCAAAAGATCGTTAACGTATAGTGGTTTTGTAACAACCCTCACTTCAACGTAGTCATACTTGCATACATTTATGTATGATCTTGTTTTGTTGAGTTGCATTTGCAAATCTTGTCTTGTTTTGTTTGAGTGTTGCTTGCGTACTCTGTTCTTGCCTGGTGTGTTTCCGAGGTCATCCTTAGCCTAGTCACCTTTGAACCCCTTTTTACACTTAGGATTATCTTCGAATCACTTCGGTTGACCTCCATTTTCGCCCTGGCATATTGGCCGAGATGTCACTATCTAGGCCGAGGTGTGCGGCACTAAGGCCGAGATGTGTATTATCTAGGCCGAGATGTTGTCCTTGCACCTAAGTGATTTTGTTCCTGGATTGGTATGACCTAGACCGAGGTGTGGCACATCTAGGCCAAGGTGTGGCACAGCTCAGTCAAGTGTTGTCCTTCCAAGCCAATGTCGTTGTCACCCTACTTGCCGAAGCTTTGTCCTTAGCCGATATCATCACAGCTCAGTCAAGTGTTGTCCTTCCAAGCCGATGTCGTTGTCACCCTACTTGCCGAAACTTTGTCCTTAGCCGATATCATCACTTGCCAGAGTGTTCTTGCCGTCTAGCTTGTTGAACACACTTTGTCATAGTCTTGTCTTGTCAGTCAGTCACCTTTTGGGAAGAGCCAATCAGCCGATGCCACATGTCCCAGCAGAGAGTTAAGTTAGTGAGCTGTTGAGAAAAACATATCATTTTGTATCAAATCTTGTCTTTTAGAGAGAGGGACTCTAGGAAGAAGAAGGTGAAGCTTTGAGTGAGAGAGTAGACTTCCAAGCTTGATCGTTGGAGTTTGAACCGTTAGATTTGAGTTTTGAGGTTAGAATCTTAATCCACTCTTGTTGTTCTTATTGATCATCTAGTTGCATTGCACGATCGAATCTGTTCTGCATGCCATGTATTGATTTAAAGTTGGTTTTAGAAAGAGAAAATGGTGTTCATGTGTTATTGAAGAAAAGACTTGTTTTGATCCGAGAGTTTGTATCAAGAACCATGTTTTTGTGTTTGTTTTCTTAAGATCTTCAAGTATGGGTACCCAGGTCCATGTTTTCGAACTCATAGCATGAAATCTCAGATTTTGTAATAACAAGTTATGATTTAAGCATGCATGTTCTTCATCTTCCTGTTCGTCATGTTCTTCAAAAGAAAACCCAGATTTTCCCGACCTCACTTTTGAATGTGGCCGTCGGGACCACACCTCGGCGAGAAGGTGTGGGACCTCAGCCAAGACCTGGTTGGTGCCCAGCATGTTTTTCCGAGATGAGAAACGGTGTTTTGTTTGATTTAACTTAGTTTTGATGAATGCCGAAATCACCTGTTTGCAGGTGAAGCTTCTTTGAAAGTACGTTCAATAGACTTTGCCATGTGTTTGTAGGACTTGGACTTTTGCCTTGACCCCGGCATTTGAAGAACTATGCCACGACCCCAAACCGCCCCTAGTAGTTTGGTGCCGTGATGGCCAGTAATCCGTAATTACCGAAGGCCAACTTTCAAAAAAAAAACTTAATACAATCAGAGTAATAATGAACGGGGCTCACATATGCGGAAGAAGTAAATCAAAATACAAGTCGTCCATAAGAGCAGTGCATAGATCAAATGTAATGATATTCATCTTACAATTTGAATACAGCCAAGCAAAATACATGTTACATCTTGATCAAAAGGCTTCTCGAGCCGACATATACAAATGCAATAAAATACAAGCCAAGAAGCATGATTTTCAAGATTTGCCGACATGCAATGAAGGGCATCGCCGACGTAAATACAAAAGCAAAGCCGACATAAGCACGAATCCAAAACAAGCATCCAAAACGATCTAGGCGTCGCCGCCGTCCTGCTCATCACCTACATATATATAGAGGGGTGAGTACAAACACTCAGTGAATGGTACTAATAATAAAGGTTTTGCATGAATATAGCCGAGGTCCTTCAAAACGAAACACATCAAACTTTAGCAAGACGAGGGATGAACTGTACTCATCAATCAATTATTACAAGTATCCAAAGATGTTTACTGACATTGGCAAAACAAGGGATGAACCGTATTCATCATTCAAATATTACAACATCGGCGAAGCAAGGGATGAACCGTACTCATCATTCAAATATTACAACATCGGCGGAGCAAGGGATGAACCGTATTCATCATTCAAATATTACAACATCGGCGAAGCAAGGGATGAACCGTATTCATCATTCAAATATTACAACATCGGCGGAACAAGGGATGAACCGTATTCATCATTCAAATATTACAACATCGGCGGAGCAAGGGATGAACCGTATTCATCATTCAAATATTACAACATCGGCGAAGCAAGGGATGATAGTCAAAGGTACTGCGAAAGTTTATAGTCCTCCAGCACAAGGGACTTGTGTTACTTAGGCCCATAGCCCGATTTAACAAGGACCGTATCCTTTTATACTTAGTACTGCGAAAGTTTAGAGTCCTCCAGCACAAGGGACTTGTGTTACTTAGGCCCGTAGCCCGATTTAACAAGGACCGTATCCTTTCCAAAGATGGCATCAAAACAAGGAGTATACTTGACTCATCAAACAAGAGCTATTTATTCATGCTATCAAATACTTTCGTCAAACAAGCAAGCAAGATTTATCAAAACAAGTATAACATAGCTTTATCAATAATACCACTCACCTAGTTCTTCAGGTGTAGACTCAAAGCAAGTATCAAGGACCTACAATCACATGGCAAGTCACATTCTCAAAGCAAGCTCTATATACATGCAAATGATCTCGGTATTCTTGCCAGATCCAAGTCAAAGACAAAGCAAAACAAGCTGGAAGCTCAAACACTGCTCCCGTCTTATGAAAACACACTGGGTACCATCCAGATCTTTGCCGAGGTCCCACACATCCTTGCCGAGGTGTGGTCCCGCTGGCCTTAACCAAAAGCAAAGTCGGGAAAAACCTGGGTTTCCCTTTGAATAACATGAAGAACATGATGAACACGATCGTGAGAAAGATGAATGCAAGATCATTACTTGTTACAAAAATCTAAGATTTCATGCCATGAGTTCGAAACATGGACCTGGGTACCCATACAAGAAGGTTATGCAAGAATAAACACAAAAACACACTACTACAAATACAGATAAAGATCACACTTTTTTTGTGTGATGTATGTGTTTTAATCACACCTTTTAAGTTTTATTAAAGTGTGGTCTTTGGGAGCGTGATTAAAAGGGGTCATTTTTAATCACACTTTTTAAATGTCATCAAAAATGATTTCATCACATCTTTTAAGTGTGATTAATAATATTTACATCACATCTTTTAAGTGTGATTAAAAATATTTAGATCACACATTTTAAGTGTGATTAAAAACATTTAAATCACATCTTTTAAGTGTGGTGTTTAGGAGTGTGATTAAAAGGGATCATTTTTAATCACACTTTTTAAGTGTCATAAAAAATGATTTCATCACATCTTTTAAGTGTGATTAATAATATTTAGATCACATCTTTTAAGTGTGATTAATAACTAATAAAACCTGCGATAAAAAAAAGAATTTGACATATTTGAAGAATAATCAATATTATTTTTGTACGCGCATTTCAAGAATGTAATACACACTATATACTATACTTTGAATCACAATCACATATTGAATGGAATAACGTCATATATTTCATAAATGAAAGTTAAATATGTTCAAAATTATATACAGAGGAATTAAATAAAAAGTTTTACATTGTGCTTACATATATTAAAAAATGAAAAAACTTGAAAAATTAAATTCTTGAATTCTTTGACCATATTTTGCATCTCTCTAAGAAATTTCTAACCTGAAAAATAAAAACACAAATTAATTCAGAAACCGTTAAAAGCATATGAATAAACTAACTATTTGTAGAGATTGTTCTAGTCTCACAAAAGATAAAGTCCGACTGATCACACCCCTTCAAATGTCTTAACATTAAATACCTCTAGCATGACATGAAGCGTGTAAAAATAAAATGTCACTTTACCCACATAAATTGCAAGTTCAACAGAAATTTTACTATAACCAACAACTTAGTTTAAGAGACTCTACCAATCTCAAATATTTAATGTTCTACAAAAGAAATGCAATTGAATGTTAATTGTGCAAATACCTTGAGTGCATTTCAGATATCAGCGACCATTCTTCATCATCTTCTCTATTTGAGCTCCTAGAAACTTCTAAACGCTTGGGAGGTTGGCCAGAGTTTCCTTAGAAAGAAGAAAAACAACTCAGCTCCTTGGGTATACACATACTGGTAATTGCACATTTGTAAAAAATGTTCTAGATACCATCATATACAAAGTCACATAGAGATATAATCCTAAAGTATAACTTGGGGGGTTCAAAATTCCCATATTAGAATTGACTGTCATTTGCAAATTAGCACCATTACCTTCCATGAAGAACATTGACATTATCTTTTGTGGAACTCGGCCAGATATCCAGTTCAAATACTCTAACACCTCTCTGCAATGCTTGTATGATCGGGACATCACTGCAGTCACTCCTTAGTTGATTTCCCGTTAGATACAAATTATGGCCCGTATATACAAAATAGTGAGATAAATGAGCTGTCATAGCATGATGAATCTAAAATATTTACAAATAAAAGACAAACAATAACTATTCAGTCTCAAAACGAAAATTAAATATAGAATACACAGTGATATAATGGCATCTCCAACCCTTGACTGAAACCTATATCAAATTTAAATTTGGGTAAAAATCACTCAAAAACCTCTCCACTCATAGACTCAAACTTATTTTGAGTAAGAGAGATCGTAAAATGTTCTAGGACAAGGAGATGGTCTTGTTCACCTGCAGGATCAGACAACAAAATTCTTGGGCTTATAGCAGAATCCTTGGACTCACTATGCTTTATGTGTAGAACAAAGGATGCCAACAAATAATATTTTGTCCGGTCACTGAAAGAAATGAAAAATTGAAATTTCCATTACTGGCTTGCAATAAAGTATTAAAACCCATGGAAAATCATAGCAGCCCCTATAAATGAGACTAACATAGTCAAGTAAATGAGCTTAAATTAGAACTACAAAGTACAATTTCATAACATTAAAGATATGTGAAAGGTAAACTGAGATGAACAATGGAGGTGTAGAAAGATATGTGAGTGCATATAAAATTTGAGCCATTTTTCGAGCCACAGATTCGAGCTACCAATCTTTTCTGAAAATTTAACTACTATAGCATCAAATATAACATTTTTTTTGTTAGTCATCAAATCCCAGATGGATAATTAAACATCTCAATCAAATACAAAAATAAAAATTTAACTACTATAACATCAAATACAAAAAAAATTATAAATTTTAATACTGTAACAAAAACTTATCACCATGTTTGATTCTTAAATTCTGACTTCAATTTTTAAAAAATTTTAAAACTTTTATTTGGTTATCTAAAAAATCAGAAAAAAAAAAACAAAATTCAATCCATGAAATTTGCAATATATCTGTACGTTCAAGACCTGAATATATCCTTTTTCATTGATTTTTTACTTTGATATTTATATATTTTTCTATGGTCTTCCAAAGCAAATACCAATATTTTGCAACGTATCCATTTGGATATTTTTGAAGGTGTGATATCTATTTTATCATCAAGCTACTACTGACTTTAGTTATGCAAAAAGGCAGCTCAACTCAAGCTGTTTTTACTCAATGTGGGCCAACCCGTCCACATGCACAGAAAATTTTCAACTTTTACCCTGCTAGGATGAAGGCCTTAGTAGGATTAACTAAATATTTGCATCTTTATTGAATAAACTAGATTGCAGAGTCAATTGAAAGTGTACATCTTACCTGGCCAGTGCGGAAAAACAATTTGTGTAGCCAACTTGATACATCTCTAGCAGCATCTTAGCTGCTGCAGCACAAGTTCTTGTTCATACATTCCAGGAGATTGAACGTTGTTGGGTTTGATACAACGAATGAAATGTGGTGTTGTACTCTGTAAACGTTGCATTAATTGGAACAATTGGCCCTAAATATCAGCAAACAACATGAATCAAATTAAAGAAGCTAACTCATCCTAAAAAGAAAATTTTCTACAATATCATGTGATAAACCACAAGCCATGAGGGTCAAGTATTCTCAGAAATGATAATGTAATATCCTGTTATACTAATCCATCATTTGTGTAATCCATCATTTGTGTCAGACACAAACCCATGTGCATATGAAAAACCAAGAGTCACCCCAAATTTAAGACATAAATTTGATGATTATTTATTTCAAGGCTACAACATATGTAACCTCCAACTCTTATGTACATAGAAAAATATTCATATTTCACATTCTATAAAGAAATATTCCTACATTTTGGAATCTACATCTGGATCATAAATAAGACTAGTCATAGAAACATGGGCCAAACCTCTGTAATCAATTTGTACATGATCTTAATTAACAATACACCCCATAAGTGGTTCATCAGTCACCACTATTTTAAACTTCAGTAAAATATCGCTTTCAATATGATTGAAGTTCACCTAAGAAGTTCAAATCCATCCTTGCCACTGCTTAAGCTTTTGTCCAAAAAGTTCCTTTTATGGTTTATGATGCCTTTGAGTTAACACCACTTTCGATTCTTGAAGCATTCTTAACAAGAGTTGAAACCAAAAGTCTTAGCCATGCAGGATTGGTACCCACTATAGTACAGCTTAGGAATACTATCTGTTTTTCTCTCATCAATGTAGCGCACACATGGGACAAACACAACATCACAAATATGCTAACACAATAATTCCTAAGAAATTAGGACATGCACACAGGAAGGACACCAAATCATATTACTATTCATATACTTTTGATGCATATAATGTAAGAAAAATGTGATGTAAATAAATATCTAAAAATTCTACATACAAATGCAAAATATGAAAGACGAAATCCCACAAATGCCATATATAATGTACACCTCTTAGAAATGTTTCAAAATATATTTGGGGTGGTGGGTTGCATTCCCAAGAAAGTCAAACCTTAGTCATGCCAAGAGATTCACCACATAGGTCTTATTAGAGACTCTAAAAACTGTTGTCAAAATGGAAACAGGTCCTCCCTAGAAGTGTCCATGCTACTAATACTCTCACTACTAGGTGACATTTCTGATTCGCTATCTTGTATTTAAAAATTTTATGTCCTCGAATAAGTCATGTTGTGCCTCTTTAATTTGATAGAATGGGTTGTTAAAGAAAATTACTATCCATGTAAATGGCCCAGACACCATTTTCTTTGTTTTGCTACTTCAATTGCAAATCAAAAGACATACGCATAGAAAGCAAAAAAATAAAAGAAGAAATAAAATTTAAGTGCCCTAAATGTCACACAATGCCTCTCAGACATTCATGCTATTCTAATTAGCATAAATGGCGACAATGTGAAATTCCATGATCAGCCTTTGGGACAAACAAAACTCCAAAAAGTGAATGTACTTTAAATTTTGCTACAACACTTAACTTTTGGGAGTCTACTCCACCTGATTTATATAGTGCACCAACAACAGGCTTCTCAGATTGAGCAAGCAAAGACGATGCAAATACCTGAGGAAGGTGACATTTGCAAGAAGATAATAGTTGAATGGTATCCAAGTGTAATAAATCACGATTCTTCTCCATAAACCCACTTGTTTGTTTACAAAGTCTCTTTTTATTAAAAAAAAAAAAAATTATGAATAAAATAATTGGTTTATTGATTAGTTGTGGGTCTTTTGATTACAATTAATTATGTATTTCTTTAATTGTGGCAGTTACACTCTATGAATTTCTACTATGTTATAAATATCATAAGAAAAAAGAGAAGCAACACTAATTTAGGTCACCTCAATATAATCATAAGCATAATGAACCCAGTTTTCTTATTATGTAAAAGTGAGAAAACAGCAATTAAGAGAAAACAGCAATTAAAAAAAATCAAGGACAATCATTGCAATTTCTGAATCTGAAGTATAAGATAAATTATTCAACAATCACAACCCAGAAATCTTCTAAACATAGGAAAAACCTTAGAATTGCCTAAAGTCATCGGTCGACCACAAAATCCACTAGAATTATGTGGACTGTGAGAAAACAGCAATTAAGAGAAAACAGCAATTAAAAAAAATCAAGGACAATCATTGCAATTTCTGAATCTGAAGTATAAGATAAATTATTCAACAATCACAACCCAGAAATCTTCTAAACATAGGAAAAACCTTAGAATTGCCTAAAGTCATCGGTCGACCACAAAATCCACTAGAATTATGTGGACTGTGAGAAAACAGCAATTAAGAGAAAACAGCAATTAAAAAAAATCAAGGACAATCATTGCAATTTCTGAATCTGAAGTATAAGATAAATTATTCAACAATCACAACCCAGAAATCTTCTAAACATAGGAAAAACCTTAGAATTGCCTAAAGTCATCGGTCGACCACAAAATCCACTAGAATTATGTGGACTGTGAGAAAACAGCAATTAAGAGAAAACAGCAATTAAAAAAAATCAAGGACAATCATTGCAATTTCTGAATCTAAAGTATAAAATAAATTATTCAACAATCACAACCCAGAAATCTTCTAAACATAGGAAAAACCTTAGAATTGCCTAAAGTCATCGGTCGACCACAAAATCCACTAGAATTATGTGGACTGTGAGAAAACAGAAAACATAAGCATGTTGCTTACCAAGGAGTCCAAGCTGTAAGCAGAAGACTTCATCAACCTTGTGAAGTATGCTTCGTCCCAAGGGTCTAGGTCACCATTTATTTATCCGTTCTTCTCTCTCTTAAAATCCCAAATTCTCTTGAACTCCTACAGAGACAGCAACTTCTCATCTAAGTACATTTATTGCGACAAATTCAGCAGCCAGAAAGTTAAGTATCACCACTTCAAGCCTTAAACTCATGTGCTGAACATAATACCTTATCAGCTTTGGGTCTGACCATTTCACTCATCTCAAGCAAAACAGAAATGTCTAGCTATAGTTACTTACTGATATTGATATTGACCAAGTGGGATCTCTTCCCTCTGTATTTGGGACTTCCTTTGAGATGTTGAGGTGGCGGAAGAGGAGGCCAACGCTGCTCCTCCGATGACGACGACGCTGCTTCGACGACGACGACGACGCTGCTGCTGCTCCTGCACTCCGGAGCCCTTTCCATTCACACAGCAGCCTCGTTTATTGCTCTCAGTCATCCGCCGCCGCTCGCCCGTTGTCTGCCGCTCTCTGTCGTCTGCCGCCGCTCGCCGTCGATCGATCGATCGAGAGAGAGAGAGAGAGGGGGGGGACGAAAAGATTAGGAATTTTTTGGGTTTGAGATTGGGGATTTTTTTTGTTGGGGGAGGGGGTGGGAAAAAAATTAGAGGGGGAAGCGGGAATGTAAAAAAATAAAGAGGCGGGAATGAAAAATAAAAATAAAAAATATAAATAAATAAATAAATTTATTTTTTGTTAAAATATATATTTTTTTGTAGTTAATGAATTTTTTTTAATTTTTTTTTTTAGTTACTAAGATTGAAAATTTATTTGTTTCCTTTTTATTTTAATGAAAAAAAATATTATTATTTTTTATTTCGTAGAAGTATGGGTAATATATATTTTAATGAAAAATATTTTCTACCAAAATAAAAGTTAATTTTTTGTAGTCAATAAAAATATTTTTCTGCGGCCTATTTTTTTTTATTACTAAAAATCATGAACTAATTTTTTGTGGTAGATGAAAATGAGCGACAGTAGTGGTGAAGGTGGTGGATAAGAGATGATGGTGGTGGTGATGGTGATGGTGATGGTGATGGCGAAAGAGATTAGTGGTGAAGTTGTGGTAGTGGTAGTGTAAATTGAGTGGCAGGGATGAAAGAGAAATAATGGTAGTAGTAGTGACAGTAGTGATAGTGGTGGTAGTAGATTGGTGGCGATCGTAGTAGTAATGGTAGTCGTAGAGGTGAAGTAGCGACAGTGGAAATAATGGTGGTGGTGGAATGACGTTTGCAGTAATGGTGAAGGTGGTAGAGGAGATGGGTGGTGAGAGAGAGAAATGAGTGAGAGACAGATAGAAGAGAGAGAGAGAGACAAAGTGATGAGCGAGAGAGAGACAAAGTGGTCGCTAAAAGTGCATTTTCTTATAGTGGATCGATAAATCGAGAGGGAGCTCAGTAAATAGAGAAAACGAGAGTGAGAGAGTGAACAACGCAAACACAGTGGGAGAGAGAGAGAGAGAGAGAAAAAGAAAAAGAGATAGAGAGTGAGAGACAAAAAAGAGACATAGAGAGAAGAGAGATGGACGAGAGAGATAGAGAGAAGAGAGATGAGCGAGGGAGACATAAAGATAAGAGAGATGAACGAGAGAGACAGAGAGAAAGATAAAGAGAAGAGAGATGAACGAGAGAGATAAAGAGAAGAGAGATGAGCAAAAGAGACAGAGAGAGAAAAGAGATGAGAGAAGAGATAGATGAGTGAGAGACACAGAGAGAGAGTGAGAGACAGATAGACAAACAGATAGAGAGAGAAGAGTGATGAGTGTGAGAGAGAAAGAGAAGAGAAAAAGGAATATGAAAAAATGGATGAAAAGATATAGACAGAGAGAAAGAGAGAGAGAGAAAAAAAAGCGAAAAGAGATAAACGAGAGAGAGACAGAGAGAGATGAGCGAGAGAGATAAAGAGAAGAGAGAGAGAAGAGAGACAGAGAGAGAAGAGAGATAAAGAGAAGAAAGATGGACGAGAGACAGATAGAGAGACAGACAGAGAAGAGTGATGAGTGAGAGAGAGAAAGAGAAGAGAGACAAAGACATAGAGAGAAAGAAAGAGACAGACAGACAGAGAAGAGTGATGAGTGAGAGAGAGAAAGAGAAGAGAGACAAAGACATAGAGAGAAA